CCCGGAGGGCGTCGGCGGTATTGTTGTTTTCTAGACCCCGTACGTTCAATCTGGTCATGTTGTTTTGCTTTTTACAGCGTGGATGTTTGGGTTTTAACTGGATTTTCATTTTTGAAATTAAAAGTCGGTGGTCAGTGCCGCATTCGGCATCTACTCTAGCTTTTGTGAGCCTAACATCTTTTAGATGCGTCCTTCGAACGATTATGTGGTCCAATTGATGCCAGTGGCCTGATCTAGGATGTTTCCAGGTACCTTTAAACTTGTCCTTCAACATGAACCACGTATTGGTGATGCAAAGATTATACTCTGCGCATGTTGTTAATAAGCGTTCACCATTGCTATTTGCGTTTCCCATTCCATGTTTTCCCAATACGTCAGGCCATATTTCCTGTTGTTTGCCTACACGGGCATTAAAGTCACCTAGCAAGATGATTCGTTCGTGCTTTGGAATTCGTTGAAGGGCATTTTGTAAAGCTTGGTAAAATTTATCCTTATCTTCAATTTTAGCGTCAAGGGTGGGAGCGTAGGCACTAATGATGTTGACGTAAGTTTTGTCTGATATGGGGTACCTTAGGGTCATAAGACGTTCGGAGACACCAATAGGTACTTCTGTTAACTTGGTGGCGATTTCGTTTTTGATCGCAATGCCTACACCATGAATTCTCCTGTGTGTTGCGGGATGACCTTTCCAAAAGAAGGTGTAATGCTCCTCAGTGAGACTACCTTATCTGCAAAGCGTGTTTCGCTTAGAGCGGCAACATCTATATTTAATCGGTGGAGTTCCTGTGAGACCAGTGCTGTTCTTCTCTCTGGTCGATTTGAATTTATCTTGTCCAGTAGAGTGCGGACGTTCCACGCCGCGAACGTGAAACATTGATGTTTTTGTTTCTCCGATGATACGCTTCGAGTAGGCACCCCTCCCGGAGATCCGATTGAGGGGTATTTTACCTCCGGACGATAATTTTGTCCCCACTCGAATGTTCCATCATTGCTGTGTGTAAGCTGCGTGAAAAGGGCCGCACAGTTTTGGCTGCAACTGTAGCACGGGATGGCTATGGCACAGTGAGGACTGCGACGATAGTTCCCTTGTGCTACGTTCTCGGCCGGCTAGGTGTATTTTATTACTCCTTTTCCCCAGAAGATGGTAGGTCTGAGGGTTGTATAAGGTTATACCGCCTATACTCGGACGTCAGAGCCTCGTTTGTGTAAACAGGGTGCACCACGTGAAGGTGAGGTTGACTTTTGGTTAAGCTAGGCTATATGTATCGCTTCAATACCCCTTGCACCCCAAAAGTTCGGTGGAAGGTTAGGATTATGTAAAGTGATCAGAAAGGAAGCTAAAAATGCAATAATATACAGAGTGTTCCATTTAAAAAAATCATCCCGGTCCACTCACACTTTTTTGAGCGACCCTATAGAAGTTAATATATTTTCCTGAAATACATCCTCGTACATAATTTAGGTTTGTACTTAAACAAAATTCTCATGTTTTTTTATTCTAGGAGCTATAGATGCCTGACGCACTATTGCCGGACTGTGCATCCAACAAAACAATATGCTCTAACCACACAGGGTGGCAGTTTAGGGCAGATTTATTTTGCGCGATATAAAAGTATAAGGACTACCTAAGCGAATGAGATGTATAAAAAAATATGATATTTCTAAATTTTTTTTAAATTGTTCATAAATTTTAAAGGTTTTTTTTGAAAAATATATTTTAACAAAAATGACCCTAACACAAATATGGGAAAATATTATTAAAATGCGAAAGATCAGAAAAACAGTAAAAACTTACCCCTATCATCTACATTCATCATAAAAAAAATATTTGTAAAATATACGGTTTAAAAAAATTACAAAATTGAGACTCTTCTGCTGCGATATAATAGCATTTCGCAAAGCCTACTATCAAATGAAGCGATTTTCGACATGTTACGACAATTCCATTATTCATTTGCTTTTGTTTTGTGATGCTCCAAAGCCTACTTGTTGTAAATTGATAACAAGATTTATGAAATATTAATATATTTTTTTTGAGATATTCAATGTTTTTAGTGACCCTGGTCCTCTGTTGTTTCCAGTGTGGAGACCCTTGGGGATTAAACATTAAATTATTTTAAAAGATAATTTTTTTTTGGGAAAAAACTAAAAAACAGCTTATGGAATTCTACATGAAATGTCTTTTGACCGAATTGGTGGATCCTAGAAAATCTAGAAATATGCCTATTAGAAATATCTCCGTTAAAAGTTAAGTAGTCCATCGTAATCGTCAATTTTTTAAACAATATGATTATCTAATATAGTAAATGTTTATATGCACTATTATTGTCTATATTGTTACGTTTTTCGTCGGTTCCGTGTGGATAGAAAGTCACAATTTATTTAAACACTATTTATTTAACACTAATTAACAAAAACAATAACGATAAAAGACTTAAAGAACTATTTACAAACGATTTATAACTAAGAATTTATTTTTGAATTTTAGCGCTTCAAATGTACTCGTCTATTTATATAACTGCCCTCTCTAGGCCACAGCCGCCGGCTTTTATACCTACAGCTAAAAGAACTCTAGAATAGTCCATAGATCGTTAGGTGGTTAGAGAAGGTTTCGATTGTTCTCGTATGTACTACTCCATTCCAGTGGAACTTGTTTCTTCTCGAATCTTCGAATGAATCATTACGGTGTCTATTCTTTAATGCGATGTTAAGGTCATCCGAGGGCGGGCTATATAGTTAGGTTAGGTCAAGGTCGAGTCCACACCGGTCCGCAACAATATGTATGTCCATTGACGTCGTATATGTACTACATACTTTTTGAGTAAAGATATCATCTTAGTACATCTCAGTGTTTTTTTGTTTTATTTTGGTGTGTTTTTTTTCAACGCATTATTTTTTGTTTGTAGAGTACTACTATTATGGTACTCTTTTAACTATCACCAGTTATAATACATACCCAGTAGTATAATTTTTATCACTTTTAACAATATTAATTTTTTAAACAATTTAAAAATAATACAGCAAAGTAAGAATAGGTAGTAACAATTATTATATCATGTAATCTCTGTATCATGTATCATGTACTATCTCTTTATTTAATGCGATATAACAATTTTATGCTCTAATTTTTGCTTATTGAAATCGCGCCGGTCCAAGTTACTGTGGGCTTCCATTACCATGACAATGACAACTGAAGCATTATGAAAATAATTTAATAACATAAAATACTAATTCACAGTGGTCAAACCATCTTATTAATTATTTATTGTTTTATGTTTTGTTACATTGCATCATGATCAATGACCATACACACACAATAGATGCAACGCAAATTTTGTTTGCCGTGTGATTTGATTACAAAATAAAAATTTCAAATTATTGTGTAAGAGACAAAAGTGTTATAAAATAATTTATCCAAATAATTCGAACACGTATCTGGTTTCCTTTGCCCGCCTTCAAAAGCGTCAGCGACAAAATTCACGTGGAGGCGCCACATTACGGGCAACAAAAATGACCAAATTGGGTTTGCAGAGGGTCGGGCGTCACAAAATTGCGACCATGTTTTTTAATATTTTGAAATCATTTTTGTTTCACTCTATTAAGGAAGGTTCTTGGTTAACTTATAAAAACGACTTCGAAGGTTCTTCGTTTCACTCTATTAAGGAAGATTTGAATACATTTAATGCTAAAAAAATTACTTATAAAATCATCTTTTTTTAGGGTGTTTCAGGGGTAAATTTGAAACAGTTTGAGTTGAGTTTGGGAAAGAAAATATAATTATAAGCACGTCTTAAGATGTATAGAAACAAATAAAAAAAGATTTGTGAAGAAAGGTCACATGGTTTTTACAGCATTTTGTGACAGCCATACTCTTACAAATGCTAGGCTAGCACCAGTGGGAAGGAGAGCCTTAAACTTTCTAGGTGACAATACGCATCGAATGACACCATATGACCACATTCGTAATTTTTGGAGAATATTGAAACATTTTACTAAAAATGGCACATGAGAACCAGACTATTTGTTCTCCGCGACAATCTAAAAATGTTGTTAAGCTGGCTCATGTGCACTAGTAATTTGTGCACATGCGGCTCACGATTGTAATTATCAGCGTCAGATTGGCACTTCTGATTTCACAAACTACAAAAATAACATTACTTTGTAATATTTATAGACAATACATTTTAGATGGCAATTTTAGTTTTTAAGTTCTTAATAAAATTGACGATTTAATATAACCCAAAAAGAGGCGGGTTGGAATGGCCGAATTTCCTGATAAACAGTTTGTTTGAAAAATTTAAAATATCAAAGGATTAACTTTATTATTATTTTAATTATTTTATATACAGTATGTAGTATGTCCAGCGATCCAGCGATAGACTAGACAAACTGACAAAAAATTGTAATTTTCGAGGAAAAGTCACTCTTTATACAAAACTTGCTTCTTAAAAAATAAGATTGACGATGGAATAAAATAATAATTATATACAGGGTGTCAATACAATACAAATTATTTTTTTTTTTACAAAACTAAATTTCTTACCTCCGGTATAAACTTTTTAGCAAAATGCTCTTTAAGAAAATTGTTTCAATAATCACAAATTCTAAGATATTGGTTTTTATTAAGTTTGGTAAGCCATATTTTTCTTGTTTATATGTAACTTCTTGGCTGTAATTTCTTCAGGAAGCATTTTATGGCATATGTTCAAAGGAACTTTTTGTTTTATTTTTATCTGTAGAATCACCTACCAAAGTTAGATACTAGATACACTGTTTTTTAACACTCTGTATATTCCCATCATTATATTATCAACTATGTGCATAACTGTATATTGAGTGTCGGTTAGATATTATACTAACGGAGGCCTAATATTTTAGAACTAACTCCCATCCATATTTTTTTCTATCCAAATCACGACATTGACCTTTTATTTTTCAAAATTCCCGTTTTTCCATATTAACATTTCGCACTGAAATTGAACCTAAATAAATTTTATTACCTGTTGATAATGAGCATGGTTTCCTTGGTAATTTTGGCACTGTATGTCTTCTTGCAGACTGGAAGTATGACCGCTGGTTACCGAACTATTACTACTACTTGAACCGGGACTTGAACGAGACATCTCAAACTGACAACATTTTGCTCGCGACGGTGTGCCCAAGTATCTAAAAATTTATAAATTAGTATTGTAGTTGTAATCAAAGCTGCAACAAGTCAGTTTTAAAAAGACAGTCTTAAGTTATTTCTAAAACCAAAATGATTTAAATTTTAAGTCAAATTCAGGGGCGTATACAGGAATTTATTTTAGGGGGGGGGGGGCAAATCAAAAAAGTAATATAGAATTTGCTTTTTAGGCACCAATTTTAACCTAAAAGACAATTTACAGTTTTTAGGGGGGCCGGAGCCCCATGGGCTCCCTTCTGTATCCGACACTGATCAAATTCAACATAAAGTTCAAATGATTTAAGTCTTAAGTATTTGACTTAAATCGTTTTATTTCAAGTCAAGTCATTTTTGTAAAGACTTGTAATATATATAGATAGACTTGTAAAGACAATATAACGTTATTTAAGTCGTTTTTATAAGTTAAATCTATATTTTTGACTTAAATCGTGATGATCTGCAAGATAAGCCAGTAAAATGACACAAATCCACCAACAAGCCAGTAAAATGACACAATTATATCTAATTTTTCAGGTATTTCCTTCTTTGGTTTTTCAATTTTCTCTGAAATTTTATTTTATTATTCAGCATCGTCTAATTTTAACTAGAGAAATGCATTGGAAACCTTCGAGTATTTTGTCATTATGCTCTATAGGCATAGATGAAATAAAAAAAGAAATATTCACATATAACGGGTGAATACATATACCGGGTGGCGTCTCAAAAGTAGCTCACCTCTATAACTTTTTTATTTTTTCAGATAAAAAACGAGATTTGGTATATGGCATAAATTAGGATTGATTGACGTTTTCAATTGTTTTCGGTCAATTCCTGTTTCACCGGAATGACTACAACTTTTGATTTTTAAATGGCACCCTCTGTATTTTTTTAAATTATTCGATAGAAAATGACACTCTGAATAGAATGACATATCATATGTCAACTTATGACATTTTTACTTAAAACAAAATTGTATTTTAAATTTCAATCTAGAGTGTGTCTTGTGTGTGTGTAGTACAAACACTAATTTTTAATCAAGGAGCCTCAGAAAAATAGATTTGTATATGTTTTTAGTGTCTTGTTCCAGCCGGTTAAAAGATGTCCAAATCGTATTTTTAATCATATCTCAATTTTTTCAAATGGAACGAGGGTAGATCATTAGCATATTTGGAAAAAGTTTTACGAATAATTTGATACCACACACTTGGTATTTCGAGTCAAATTCTCATTCTGAACCGCATGTTGCAATTTTAAATAAACCATATTCGAAAATGTCAAAAGTTGACATATGATATTTCATTTTATTCAGAGTGTCATTTTCTATCGGAGAAAGAAACAAATACCGAGGATGCCATTTAAAAACTAAAAGTTGTAGTCATTTCCGGTGAAACAGGAATTGATCGAAAACAATTGAATACGTCAATCAATAACTAATATAATCAACAATAAAAAAATAAACATAAAAGCATAAAGAACATAAACCACAACTTAATATACAGGGTGGTCCAAACTGTATTCCGGAAACTTCGGCAGCATATTTTGTATATAAAAATAAGTAAAAAAGTTCGCATAAATGTATGTCCTAAAATGCGAAGTTTCTGAGATACAGGGTGTAGAAATTTCATTTTTATTTCGATTTTTTCCAAATAATTTCTGAAGTAACGTCAATAATTGAATGAAAATTGGTGTCTGGAAGTTTTTTGATATCAGAAATTTGATTTTGATGTCTATATGACTCCTATTTGTAGGGGTCGCCACCTACATGTGTCTTCCCATATAACACACAATATCCGCAGGATATTCATAGAATGTCGGAATGTCCCATTATAAGATCATCTTATAAAGACATCTCTAGGATATCCTCCAGACATCCTGAAATCCTGTAGATGTCTCAGAATAGAATATCCTATGGATATCTCTGTCGTATATCTAATGTACATCCAGCTGAGATATCCAAACATGCTCATGATAATAAAATATCCTAACAATATCGTCTAGATATTTAGGAAAAATAAATAATGTACTACTTTTTTTATTACATAAAATGCAATAAACCATACAGATAGATATATATTATGTCAAGGCAACACAATATCCTGTTGGTATCTTCTGGATAATCTGGATATTTATGAGCTTGGTCACTCCCAGTAATACAGAGAATTTAAAACGCCCGCGCAAAAAATTTCCCACAATCCATCTCGACAGTTGTTTGTTTTTGCATCGTGTATTATTCAGTTCTTTGATTTAGTGAAATTCGAGGTGAATTCGGTCGTTTGTCGATATTGGATGGGCTTAAAAATGACTGAAACTAACAAAACTGGTTGAGTTTGACTTAGTTTTTTCTTATACTCATAGTTCTCGCCATGTTCTAGTAGAAATTCTGTTCTAACCTCAACTAATGTCGAAAAACGATGAACGACTCAGGGTCTCACAATGAAAAATTTGTGACAAAATTATAGGTGAAAATTTGTTGAAAAGCGCTTGTTCTTTTTTTTTTGTTTGATCTATTCAAACAGAAATCCTATTTTTGTGATTAAATTTTGAGTTTCTGTAATGTGTGGTGTTAGAAATTATACCTGTATCCTGTGTGCTAACTTTGATGTAAACTGTTGCTGCTAGATATAAACTGCTAGACTCCATAAAGGGTAGTATAATCTGGTATAATACTGTTACGTTTTTCGTCGGTTGTGAATCAAATTGTTCAAGTTGTCGTCTAATTTGTGTAGGCACGAGTCAAGGTCACCTTCCAACTCAAAGCAAAATGTGTCAGGATCCTCACCTTCCTCCACCAAAACGTCTCTCAGTCTAGCTTGCAAAATGCTTTTCTTTCCATCTGTTTCGCACTCTCTCTCTTCCAATATGCATTTCAGCTCGGACACTTTCAAGTCTTTCAACAATTTTTTCAGAGCCATGGTCAGTCTTTTTATTCTTCTAATCTATCACACACGCCACACTTGACACCAATTGTTACGTTTTTCGTCGGTTCCGTGTGGATAGAAAGTCACAATTTATTTAAACACTATTTATTTAACACTAATTAACAAAAATAATAACGATAAAAGACTTATAGAACTATTAACAAACGATTTATAACTAAGAATTTATTTTGAATTTTAGCGCGTCAACTGTATATTTATAACTGCCCTCTCTAGGCCACTGCCGCCGGCTTTTATACCGACAGGTAAAAGAAATCTAGAATAGTCCAAAGATCGTTAGGCGCATAGAGAAGGTTTTCGAATGTTCTCGTATGTACGAGTCCATTCTAGTGGGTCTCGATTCTTCTCGAACGAATGAATCATTGCGGTGTCTATGCGATGTTAAGGTCATCCGAGGGCGGGCCATATTGTGAGGTTAGGTCGAGTCCACACCGGCTCGCAACAATACCATACGATCGAAAAAAACGGCGTCAGAGGTGGCTTGGAAATGAAAAGATTGCTCTTATTTTGTATGTAAAATTATATGGGGAATGTCATCGATCGTAATTTTCAAGCCAATTGAACGCCGTTTTTTTTCGATGGTACAGTATAAATTGAAAGCTCTTAAACTCATACAAATAAACTTCTAAATTTTGACTCAAAATTCATTGACATATAGGTAGGTATATTTTAGAGCTGTTAATAAAAATATCCAATGAATAACGTCAAAATGTGGCTAAATAAGACTAAATCGCGAACGTTTTTACTAAAAAGTTTATAGTATAAACTAAGGATGAAGTAAGTATTGTCAAATAACAGTCCTCATAGAATGTCCTAAAAATATTCTATAATGCTCCCAACATCATCCTTGTATTATCCTAGAAATATCCCAAATAATCGTAAAAGGCTTGCCTAGGGATGTCTTGAAGACATCCCTTTTTTTGTCCCATCTGGATATCCCATAAATATCCTCCTCTGGTTTTTGGATATCCCTAAGATATTTACTATATCCTTGGTGGATATCCTCAAGATATCTATAGGATTGTGTTGTGTTATATGTGTTAACTCTATTGAAGAGTAATAACTTTTCGTTTGTACCTGTATAAAAATACTGAGTAAAAAAATATACATTTACGAAGTTTTTTAAAAAATGTCTCTTAGTAAAAATCGCTACTAGTAATAGTTCTCGAGATATTTGGAATCGAAATTATCAATACCTGTCGTCATTGACATAATATTAAACATGTTGACTAAATAGTTATTAGACTGAAATCATAAATTTGAAATGTTTTTGTGCCAAAAGTTCAACAGAAACTGTTTTATCATCATTTTTTCGCAGAAAAAAATTATGATTAATTTAAAAAAAATAAAAATTTCCCAAATGTATTATTTCAGTCAAATAACTATTTACTCAAATTGTTTATTTTTTTGTAATAGTGACATGTATTGACTATTTTTATTCGAAATATCTTGAGAACGGTTGCTCGTAGCCATTTTTACCAAGAGTCATTTTTTACGTAAAAAGTCATGAAAATGTATATCTTTTGATTCAGTAGTTTCATACAAGTACGAACGAAAATTTATTACTCTTCAAAACAGTTAAAACACATATACGTGGCGCCCCCTACAAATAGGAGTCATATTGACATCAAAATCAAATTTCTCATATCAAAAAACTCCCAGACACTAATTTTCATCCAAATATTAACGTTACTTCAGATATTATTTGGAAAAAATCGAAATAAAATTGAAACTTCTACACCCTGTACCTCTCAAACTAAGCATTTTAGGACATACATTTATACGAACTTTTTAACTTATTTATATCTGCAGAATATGCTGTCGAAGTTTCCGGAATACAGTTCGGGCCACCCTGTATATTAAATTAAATTTTGTGGTACTTTGGACAGGGCTCATCCTGTATTTCGCGTGTTTTACACGGTTTTTAGTTTACGAGCAGAAGTGTAAAGATGCGGTCTTCACATTACTATGCTACTTTTTTTATGAAACTAAATATGGTACACACATTTGTCCTAGCCCTTTTAGTTCCTGAAATACTGGGCGAAATTGAAATTGTTGCATTTTTCGACTCCCCTCATATCTCGGACGGTGAAAAGGTGATCGAAAAGGTAAAAATCGAGCTCCATAAAGATTTTCATGTAAAATTCAGTGGCGTAACTAAAACCAAGATTCGAAGGGGCTCGAAAAATGCAACATTTTAAAATTCGCCTTATATTTCAGGAACTAAGAATACTAGGTGTATACTATACCAGGTGTGTGAAAACAAAATGCCGCTGTTAAAAATTTATCATAAAAATATATAAAAATCTGATGTAAGCCTTTTATAAAACTTTAAGGCTTAAATCTTTTTGATGACTTAAATCTTTTCAATGACTTAAGTCTTTTCTAAAAAGACTTAAATCTTTTTCTCTTTCAAAATAAAGATTTAAATCACAAATCATTTTGAAAAAGACTTAAATCTTAAGTCTTAAGTCAGCTTTCGAAAAATGACTTAAGTCATTATAATTATTTAAATAAAAAAAGATTGAAGTTTTCTGTGAGCTTGGAGCTCTGGTTGTAATGAAATTTTAAATCCGGTTTACTATACTAACATTAGCGTAACTAGCTCGGTAACTAGCAATTTATCCTGGGGTGGGCCGGGGGGGGGGGGGCTGGGGTTGAGCCAAAGGGGGTCCTGGGGTTGGGCCAAAGGGGGGCCTAGGGCTTTTGTTTTTTTAAAAATAAAAAATAATTTAAAAAAACACATTTTTTGAATAAAACGTCATGAATTTCTCTATCAATAAATTTCATAGACTTGGTTATCAAACCGTGTACCTGTGGATTACTTAAATACCAACAAATTTTAAAAAAAAATAAAAATTAACACATTTTTTGAACACAACAAAATAATATTAACTAAACAAAACTAAAAAACGTCATTTTTACTGCATCACCAAACCAAACCAAACCATCACAAGCAAATAAAAATTAATACGTTGCCAAGAGTCATAATTCAGGATTTCTCTGGGGGGTGCCCAGCAGGGGGGGGGGGGCGGCACCCCGGGGCGCTCCTGTAGTTACGCCAATGTTTACTAAACATTCAGCGCAAATTCGAAATTAAATATAAAAAATACTTAGTCTTATTTTGTTTTGATTTAAACCCACACAGGATATTTCTTAAATAAGAGCAAGTATCCAGTAGAATATTTTGACACAGAACACGTTCATAATAAATTTTTTTTCATTTTTCTTGACTTTTTTTGGAAATTTTTTTTAAATTTTTTAGTGTTCAATCTCCATAAAATATGTTCCTAGTGTCTAGACCTACTCCTTTTTAAAATATTTGCACTTATTTAAGAGATTCCATGTTAGATAAAAGCTACGAGAGCATTTTTTACACTTACCTAATTTTCTGAAATTGATTTTGACTAAATTGGATAGGCAATCTATAATGATAGGTTAAGTCTCTTCGCATGTAAGGGTCACTGCCATTGTATTGTTTAGCATATCGCTCGTACGCCAGTTGATACGAGCCATAAAAAGTTTCTTGTGGTTGGGGTTGAGGTACATACCTAATAAAAAAATAGTGTGAATATATTAAATTCAATTTTAGCTTTAAAATTGGTAATTTATATTATTATATAGATGTTTATTATTATTAATCATTTTTAAAGTTCTTATGATAATTATGGTTACAATTTTACTATTTATATTACAATTTTATTATTTTTAATATTAAAGCACAAAAAGAACATAAAAGCATAAAAAGCATAACAAAGAAACCATAGAGCATCTGCTGTGCCTTTGTGTGGCACTGGAACACCGACGCGACGCTTTAAAACTTTAGGGCAAAGTTTTTTGGAGGAACTAGAGGAAGCAGCAGAATTCAGCGACATTGGAAACTTTGCAAAGAGCTGGAAGTGCTTTAACACAAAGAAAGAATGAGAGGCGGGTTTGGTACAATAATGCAGGGGTATCGCAATGGGCCCAAGGCCTCCGAATGAGGGATCAAACAGGATTCCAAATCCCAGCAACTTAACCTAACCTAACCTCTTCTTCAAATAACTCTGACAAATTTGCATTCTGGCTTCAAGCCTATGTCATATTTGTTTTTTAATGAGTACCAGAATTACCGATATTTGAAGACGATTTAACGGTAATATTTTATCGCATTTTTAGTACAGGGTGGTCAAAATTGGCCTGTTTTAACACCTATTTCCTGACTAGATAGAGCAAAACCGATATAGATGTCATGGACTCGATTTCTGAGACACGTTTAGTGGCATTAACCGCCTGTTGATATTTTCACTGCCAACTGAGATACGGGGTCTTTTTGAATTTTTTGCCATTTGGAAAATCGCCTATAACTTTTTTATTTCGCGGAATAATAAAATTCTGTAAAAACGTTCTTAAAGCACTTTTTTAAGCACAATCCAGTGGCGTAGTCAGATTTTTTCTATGCTTGCTCTTTGTGTTAGAAATAATAAAAAATAAAATTTTTTAAATGGAAATTATAGTTGGCTATGAACTTAAAAAAATGCTGCCGTTTAACCCTTTCCAACGATATAAAGTAATTTCTAAGAATGAGAGAAATATTAGGTTTTTTATCTTTGTATCGAAGTGGGCCTTGATTTTGTGTTGGCCTAGTTGCTTAATTATGTTTTATTACAATTTAATTAATATTATTATTTATTATTATTTATCTGCATAATTAAAAACTTTTAGTATTAGTAATTACAATTGAAGTCGATACAATAAACAAAGCACAAAACTAAAAAACCGTATTTTTTGGGTGACGAATATAGTTTTCTAAAAAAATCATCTGAGACGTTTGAACTGAGCACTTCCTTGTTGAATAAATATCTTTTGCGCACAGAGTTACAGCGATTTATTACCGCAAACTGGTGTAATAAGTCCAAAAGCTTGCCTAGTAGCACAGAATATCTAGCTACGCAACAGAAAAATACTCGAAATGAAAGAGCTAAAATTGCACAAATAAAATACTAGATGGCGCGACAATATCACAATCAGAATATAATTGGAAATTTTTAACTTTTGGTTTTGGATCGACGTAGATCGGCGGCACGTCGACGGCCTTGAAGCTCGGCTAAAAATGCACAGTTGCCAGATTCAAACAGACTTTAATTGGCCTCCCATTCTTTTTCTGGTGTATAATAAATAATAATAATTCCTTTCTATTCTTCGTTTCTTGTCAGATACACTTATATTAATTATTCGTTTGGCTTTTAAAATAGTTTTAATTTTAAGTATATTATTAGAAAACATATGCTCTCAAAATACATTTTTAATATACACTACTTTATTATGTTAACTAAGAAAATAACTTTAACTACCTTTAAAATTAATAATATACAGAGCGATTGATAGTGATATTTATTAATGCTGAAACGTTAGTAATGAAATATACGTTTAAAAATAATGGAAATGATTTATTAAAATGCAGTACAAAAAATGTTAATTGACTAAAAAAATACTATAATAACAATTTTTTTCTGTTTGCCAAGTTATTTATATAGACCTAGGTAGATTTTAAAAAGTGACACAGGTACAATTAATAATATATTAGTTCGGCATAAAAGTTGCTGTCACGACATCGTACAATAAATTAAAATTCATAAAATAAATTAAAATTATTAATTAAACAAATCTTTATCAAGTATATCAAATTTGGGCCCAATCGAACGCCAGGAAATGGTATCGTAATATGGTACTGCATTATGGTACTCCTTGATATGCTTCATGGTACCATAATATTGCAATGTCATCAAAAATACGCAAGTATAATCAAATATGAGCCCAATCGAACGTCAGGAAGTGGTATCGTAATATGGTACTATATTAAGGTACCACTTTATATATGCATCATAGTAGATGCATCATAGTACCATCATATTACAATGTCACCGAAGATACTTACTATACCAAGTTAAGCCCAATCGAACGCCAGGAAATGGTATATGCTTCATGGTACCATAATATTGCAATGTCATCAAAAATATGCAATATCAAATAACAATATCAAAGAACGCCAGGAAATAGTATCGTAATATGGTACTACATTATGGTACCCCTTGATATGCTTCATGGTACCATAATATTGTAATGTCATCAAAAATACGCAAGTATGTATAATCAAATATGAGCCTAATCGAACGTCAGGAAGTGGTATCGTAATATGGTACTATATTAAGGTACCACTTTATATGCATCATAGTACCATATATTACACTGTCACCGAAGATACTTACTATACCAAGTATTAGTCCAATCGCACGCCAGGAAATGGTATCGTATATGGTACCTCTATCGTATATGGTACCTCTATGTACTATTATGGTACCTCTTGATATGCTTCATGGTACCATAATATTACAATGTCACTGAAGATACGTAATATACCAAGTTTAAGCCCAATCGAACGCCATGTATAGTAATATGGTACTATATTACGGTATCACTTGATATGCTTCATGGTACCATAATATTGCAATGTCATGAAAAATACGCAAGTATATATCAAATACCGTACGATACCGAAAAAAACGGCGTCCAGTTGGCTAGGAAAAGACGATCGATGACATTTCCCATATAAATTTACACATAAAATGACAGCGATTTTCATTTCATAGCCATCGCTGACGCCGTTTTTTCCCGATCATACGGTATGAGCACAATAGAACGTCAGGAAGTGGTGTCGTAATAGTCGAACAATACTTATTATATTGTCGCCGAATTACAATCAAAATTCAGGATTCAGTTAGAATCAAACGTCAGGAAGTAATTTTATAATTCAGCTCGTAAGATTTAACTCCAACTAATATGGCGAAAATACTTAAACGTTTGAAAAAAGAGCTCTAATCTATTTTAATATGTTTAAATGATGTAGCAAATTTGAAGCTAAGCTTTATCAGGAAATATTACAATATAAATTACACAATGGCAACACTGCATAAAATTCTTTTAAATTTCGTTTGCAGAAAACTGTTTTTTTTTAAATTTATCGCCCTCTGTTATGTAGTAGTGAAACTACCGCATCAAAATATCTGATTTGGAGACAGGCTTTTAAAGCCTGTCTCCTTTTGAGACCTACGATTTTATACATGTAACGAGGCTTCTGTTGCGTAGCTAGATATTCTGTGCTAGTAGCCTTCTGCAATTCTTCTCGTCTCAATGGTTCTTCCCTTATATATAAGGTTTTTTGAATTTTCCCCATAAAAAGTCGAAAGAAGTTAAATCACAGGACCTAGTACGCTAAAATATGGGGCCCCTTTTTCTAATCCGATTCTGTCTAAATTCTCCATTTAATAGTTCAGTTGTAACCCTGGCGTTTTAATTGTAATTGGTAATACTCATATAGAATGTTGATTTATCTTTTCAAAAGTGTTTAATTATGCGGATAAATAATAATATAGAATATTAAATTGTGATAAAAAAATAATTAGGAAAATAGGTCAACACAAAATCAAGACCCGCTTCGATACAAAGATAAAAAACCTAATATTTCTCTCATTCTTAGAAATTAAATACCCATAACTTTAAATTGTTGGAAAGGGTTAAACGTCAGCATTTTTTTAATTTCATAGCCAACTATGATTTCTATTTAAAAATTTATATTTTTTATTATTTCTGACAAAAAGAGCAAGCATAGAAAAAAACTGACTACGCTACTGGATTGTGCTTAAAAAAGTGCCTTAAGAACGTTTTTACAGTATTTTATTATTCCGCGAAATACAAAAGTTATGGGCAATTTTCCAAATGCATGGTAAAAAATTCAAAAAGACCCCGTATCTCAGTTGGCAGTGAAAATATCAACAGGCGGTTAATGCCACTAAACGTGTCTCAGAAATCGAGTCCATGACATCTATATCGGTTTTGCTCTATCTAGACAGAAAATAGGTTTTCTCTGTTAAAACAGACCAATTTCGACCACCCTGTACATTTTAACCGGTAAATAGGCAAATCGATAAACCGGTAATGCAATCCCTAATAAAATATTGATTTATAATTACAGTGTGCCCGATTATACCTATATAAGAAATTTACATTAAATATATCTTACCGTTCAACGGGCATATGTGCGTTTGGTGGTATGTACCTCTGCCCTTCGTTGAATCTTTGTTCATCATCGTTCACCGGCTGATGATATCCACTCGATGGAGTGGGACTGGTTCCGGTAGGCATTTGATACCTATCCTGTTTATATTGATAATATCTATCCGAAGGTGATTGATGTGAAGAGCTGTAGTTGTACTTTTCCTGATGATATCTGAAAAAAAGAAATTATTACCTACTGAATAATACTTTTAAGCGGTTTCTAACTGTTCCTCATTCCTCACTTCTACTTTATCTATTTGCAGATGGCCTAAATATGTTTTAAAGTCTAGTTCAGACATTTCCAGTGATTTAGTAAATTCAGAAATTTAGCTAAGTAGGTATCATTAACATTCACACAAAATTATAATGTTAAAGCAATGCTTTAAGCTTCATTCAGAACTAATAGTGACTAATATTGATTTCAATTAGCGTAGAAGTTTGTTCCTTTAAAAAAAATCCTTTATGGGTTTTTCGCCACTGCACTGCAAGAAAGATCTACAAAATAAAGTAGTTATTTTTTGTAAACACTTCTGCGTTAAACCTAAACGGACGCTGCTTGTCAGAAGTTATGTTTACAGTAATAAAAATTTGCCTAAGAAAAAAATGCTTAACGTTTCGGAAAGTTTTCTCTTTCCGTCGTCGGAAGCAAAAAAATATAAAGAATAAAGAAAAAAACTATTTAAAATATTTAAATTGAACTATTCGAGAACGCTTTACTGTTTAAAACAGATACGTCTACAAGAAACCGTTGACGTTCTGTTAAAATGACATTATATTAAGTTAAACTTCAAAATTAACAATTACTACCTGATAACCAGGGTTCGGAAAACTACATGTTACTTTTAAAAACTACATAAACTACATTACATGTAGTTAATGTAGTTTATGTAGAGGGTGTAGTTTATGTAACCTATGTATGTAACTTTCAAATATCAAAAGTTTGAGGTGAGGTTATAATAAGTTGAAGCTTTAGAAAATACAATGTATTTAAGAAAACAGAAGAAATATGGCTTTAAATATAATATTCACACATTATATTATTTAGACCCCTCATACAAAGCAAAATTATTCATAGTATCAATACATAGTTTATTAATGTAGTTTTCATGTAGTTAATGAAGGGAAAAGACGTAGTTTTTGAAGAAAAACTACACGTAGTTAATCAGGTAAATTACGTCTTAATTAACTACTTCCGAACCCTGCTGATAACAATTAGTTAATGAGGTAAAATCAAAAAGCCCAAACTTTCTGTATGATTATTTATTATTATTATTTTTATTATTATTTTTTTTAGTGGCGAAAAACCCATAAAGGATTTTTTTTGGAGAGATGAATCCGCTACATAGGTATAGACATTTTTGTTCCTTTAATTTGAATGTAAAGCTTCATTCAGAACCTCCCAATTAGTGGAATAAATTAGTGATTTCAATCATACTTTATACTTTTTAGTTTACGATCATTCACAATGTCTAAAAAACACAATTAAAATTAATAAAATATCCTAGCAACAGCTTGCGGTAGTCTGTTGTATCCAGGGGGGTGACAGTAAACCGGAAAATTGGAAACAGTTCTGGCGCGGTCTTACCCAGGCAGAAAGCATGGCCTTCTAGACTGTCCTAGACAAAAATCTGAATATTTCTATATGATTTCTGTCAATTTCAGTTACGGAACATTTTTATGCACGTCGGCGTCCTCTTCTTTTGTCTGTGTGTCAGCCATTGAGTGGAAAAGTCAAAAAAGTTTGTTAACTTTTTCCTTTGAATAAGTAGACTAAGGAAGGAGCAAATGCTATCCATGTATTCATGCATGGTGGGCGGAAAAGCCACCATAAAAGCTCTCTAGGGTGGGGATCCTTGACAGTTCTGTTTGACGATTCATTTGACACATTTGAATTTGATTTGAAATTTTGTTGATTTGTCAGTCTTTACGGAGCTTATTTTATGTTATTTATTATTTATTCTACTACTGATAGTTGTATAAAGGTAGTAAATCTAGATGGAAATTGTGGCAGAACATAAATTAACAGTGACACTATCGCGATTTATCGAAAAAGACTCTAAAATAGTTGGTTGTTTAGCGTGCGGTAGATCTCGGCAAAAATTGAGTGAAACAACTTTTCGCTAGTAAGTGACTATATAATATACATACGTGTAGTAAACCGATTATTTAGGAAATTCACTTAAATTAACTAAATTATATATTTTTCTTGCATTTTAGCTTTTGTTTATTACTTGTCAAAGATTAGATGTCAAAAGATTTAGATACGTTAATTTGACTTACCTGCTTCAGTAGCGTATCGGATGTTTGATTATCTTATCTATTTTTTATTAGAATTATATATTTTTATAACAATTTTAATAACTACAACATTTATTCACAACGTAAAATAAAACAACAAATTATTGAGTCTACCCCACGTCTACCCTACATCATAGTTTTACATTTTTTAAATAAAATTAGAACGACACTGATAAACCGGAATTTAAGTCGGCCATATTTGAGGCCCATCGCGGTGTACCTAAGATTTTTGATATGCTCCTTCCTTAGTCTTCTTATTCAAAGACTTTTTCCAATAATTGAAAATTACTACCAATAATTATGACGTTCTGAATACTTTCATTAAAATTAGGTGAACAAACTTCTACGGCTAATTGAAACGACTAATTGATTCCACTGATTTAGAGGTTCTGAATGAAGCTTAAGCATTCAGAACGTCCAAATTAGTGGTACAGTTTCAATTAGTAGAAAAAGTTATCAAACTTTTAAGTTTTCCACTAATTATACTTCAAAATTTGTGAGAAATGTCGTTTTGGCCTTTGATTATCTTCCGTCAAGAGAAATTGTGGCTAGAAATCAAAAGTTGATTGTTTTATAACTTTTTTATAAGCTAAATATTAGGGTTTTTCTATGGATACAACTGACTAACGCAAGCTGTTGCTAAAATATTCTATTAATTTTAATTGTGTTTTTAAACATTGTGAATGATCGTATACTAAAAAGTATAAAGCGTAATTGATACCACTAATTTATTCCACTAATTGGGAGGTTCTGAATGAAGCTTTAGTATAATCGAATAATTTGAGTTGAGGATAAATCTAATGAAGGAATATGACAGATCATCAGCGTACCAACAACACCGATTGTCATGATACAAATAGTGCACCTAAATATGAAATTCTGTTTAAAAAAAAATGCGGAAAAAAATGAGAATACTTTACACAACTAAAAATTAGAACAAGCTTATGTTTCCCTGGCTCAACTATCGGTTCGAACTTTCCGTTTAGCTGATTAAAATAGTAAAAAATAGTAGACAGTAAATATTAGTAGTTTAGCTAGCTGAGGTTAAGTCCTGCGACTGGATCTCTCCGATTCTATTTTTACGGTCAAGTATAGTCCCCCACCATGTGCAGTTACCTGTAACACTAAATCAAGTCTGGACGTGTGTGTTTAGTCAAGTGAATTAGTTAACGAGAGCCTGCCGAAATATCGTGCCAAAACTATTTTTATTTTATTAAAAATGGTCCGCTGAAAAAGTCATCAAAAACTATAGACCAATAAGCCCACTACCTGTAACGTACAAACTATTCACAAAAATAATAAACACCAGAATACAAAACACGCTAGACGCTGCACAACCACGAGAACAAGCAGGCTTTAGAAGCGGCTTCAGCACGATTGACCACATACATATACTAAGAGAAACTATCAGCCCAACAAAAGAATACGAACTTCCACTAGCCATAGCCTTATAGGCTTTGAGAAGGATTTGGACTCGATGTACCCTAAGGCAATAAAAGAAGCCCTAGCGAAACAAGGTATACTCTGTTTTTTTTTCTCAGGTAAGATTTCGACAGACGATGACAGAAAATAAGCAGATGACCTAACCTAACCTAACCAATCTATTTATTTCACTAAAAAAAGTTTCTAATATTTTTTAAGTTAACTATGGATGGGTTTATATATAAATCCGTCGTGCGTCGTCTCTTGTTGTTTTTAATCAGTTTTATTGGTTTATGTCAAAAATGACAAATCATATTTTGAATATTATTGGATTGACGCAACGATGAACGATATACCTACGCATATGCGTATGAACTCGACTTAAGATTTTTGCGGCTTGTCAAACTCTTGTCAAATTATAGGTTATAATTTTGTGTCAAATTATGTCAAGTATCGATTTGCGAATTGCTTTTGGTTCGTGTTATTAGTTGTGTTTTTTGAAGTTAAGTGGAGGAAAAATCGAGGGAAACTTAACTGTAGACCCAGAGCACAGTTTGTAGTTAATATTCGGTGCCCAGACAGAGAGTTTTATACACAAATAAAGTTACCATCAGTAAAGTTTGTAAACTGTCTTGTATATCAAACATCTTGTATAATATGGTACTAAAAACTGGAGTACCTGCAAAATGTAACACCTGTAAAATAACATCACGCAATAGGTAAATAATATATTTTAGTACTGCAGAAACAATGTCAAAAGGTACTGGTTTAAAAAATTAAGATTAAAGTTAATTTAGCAGCTTTTAAAGTATAAAATTCAGTAAGTGTTATCATTAATAAAATATTTTGTTTTATTTATGTTGTGTTTCATTTATTACTGTGCAATATCATGTTTTTTATTTGCACAAAAATTATATTGATAAATATAATAATAAATGCAGGAAGTTTCTTGAAGCTTGAAAGTAAGAAATAGTTCTGTTTTATATGTTTTTGGTATGTGGTGTTTTATGTAAAACACATCCTTGTTTGTTTTCCACATATATATTTTGCTTGTACACATACCGTATTTTTTTAAAATTAAATAACTCGATTAGTTTTTTTCAGTTTTATACAGTTTTTTTACAATATTTTGAAGTAATCACTTGTCACTCAAATTTTAAATATAGGTATTTAATTGTACCAACTTTGTTATTTGTAAAATAAAATAAACTACTTTGAAGTTAAAATGACAGACACATCTATCACTGTCAATGATTTTATCGTTGGATAGACTATACTGACAGGCCTTAAGCCGCCTTAAGCTACATTCCAAATCAATTCGCTGGCCGAGTGGTACTTTGGCACGCAAGCTTATCATAATGTACTTCAGTGTACTCATTCACAACAAAATTCGACGCCAGAGTGCAAGTTGAAGTTGGATTGAAAGCTTGCAAGCTGCAAACTTCCACTTCAGCACGGAATTTTCGTTTGACAATTATGACAAATTTGACATTTAAATTTTAATAATTATTTTGTTTGTGTTGTTGTTACAAACCATTTTCCTGTGAAAAGTAAATAATTATTAAAAGAAAAATGAGTGAAGAGGACGCTATTCTTATTTTATTATGAGGACTTGTGGCTTTGCTGTTAAAAAAACGGCAATTATTATTGTTGCAGCTCAATAATTAGCTTTACCGAAAACCAAGGGGTTTACCAAAATCCAATAGATGGGGCGTCCGACCCGTATTAATGGCGAGAAAAAGTTTTGGGTGCTTGAGACACATTTTAGAAAAAAATCATCACTAAATGAAGTTTTTGTTTCCATTTTTTTAAACATAAAAACTTGGAAAACTTAATTAACAACTGTCCTGGATTTTGACTCTTCCAAAATCAAAACAAACAAATAACCTAAAAAATGTCAGAAGAACGTTTAAACACGCATGCGCAAAATTCGACTTGAAATTTGTTGTGAATGGTTCATTTCGTGCCGACTTTAACGTCGAAGTGCCACTCGGCCATGGAGACACTTTCGCCAATACATACAAAGAAGCCAAAGCGAGAGTAGATCCATATATGTATACAAAACAACCCCAGAGTTCCCAACTGGCAAAGGAGTACAACAGGGAGACGCGATATCCCCAAAGCTGTTTACAGCAACATTAGAAGAAATCTTCAGTTGACTGGACTGGACCAACAAAGGATTTCTTATATTGATGGAGAATATCTTAACCATCTAAGATTCGCTGATGGCATAGTCCTAATTGCCAATAGTCTTGAAGAAATACAAACACAAATTAATGAAGTAAATACAGCCAGCAATGGAGTGGGTCTGGAAAAATGAATTTAGCAAAAACTAAAGTAATGTACAACGAACTAGTGAAAAAAACCTTAGATTAACGAAAAAACATACATTCTAATAAATAACACAACACTGGAAATAGTAGAAGAATATATATATTTGGGACAACTAATACACAGCTCGGGATCTCTACTACCAGAAACCAACAGAAGAATTTAGTTAGCATGGAGTACTTAGAATAGAAAAAACTATTCGACCAATGTGTACTACCAGTCATGACCTATACGTGCGAAACCTGGGCACCTGAAACATCATAGGGAAACTGCATGTCGCACAACGTCCAATGAAACGAAATATGCTGGGAATAACCAAGAGAAGCCGTAAAATAATAGAGTGGATTCGACAAAAAACCCAGGTAATATAAGTCAGTCGTAACAGAGTCAAATCCCTCAAATGGCAATGCGCAGGACACCTGGCAAGAAGAATGAACAACAGATGAACCACAAAAATTACAGTATGGTACCCACGAGGAATTAAGAGACCTAGAGGAAAACCAAACCTGAGATAGGACCATGATATTTGGAAATTAGCAGGGATAACTTGGGCCCGCATAGCCAACAATAAACAACAATGGGCCCAACTACAAAGAGAGTATGCAAGGGAGGCTACGCCATAATTGGAAATGGTTGAATAAGCTAAAAATGAAAATGAGCCGGCAGCTGGATTCGAACCCAAGAGCTTAAGATTGGTAGACGAGAGCTGTACCTGGACGCTACTGATCACCTCACCTCATATAGACTTTGAGGGACAAAAACATGATTTAAACTAAGCTCGTAGGATATACCTTTGTTTACTGCTGGGTCGTTCTTCTGTAGGCGATGGAGCGGGTAGCGGAGGCGGTGGTGCGAATCTTTCTTGTGCTGCGGGTGCCACAGGACTGGGGAAAGCGCCGTGGGCGTAACAGTCCGAGGACTCGGGTTCACCTTCTGCAGGCGGGGGTGCGACAAATCGATCGCACGCTGGTGCCGGAGAGGGTGGTTCGGATGGCGCCGCCGGACCGAATGGTGCTGGCGCTGGTGGACAGGCCAAAATTGATGGTGTTGCTGGCCTGAAAATTAGTCAGAACAACATTAATATATAGAAAAATTATTAAAAGCTGGCGTGCGTGTCATTAAAGATGTCGAAAGTATTACCAAATTAAATTTCTAATAAATAAAACTTGTTGGAAACTTAGAGCGTACTGTTTCCTATTTCTTAGCAACTAAACGCGAATCTCTATATCAAACTCAAGAAACGCTGACAAAGGATCTCGCATCTTTGAATATCTATTTTATAAAATGAAGACTTCAACCCACTGCAAATAAAACAGGAGTGGCCAAATAACAAGTTGGCGAGTACTGAAATAAGCGTCCAGTTTCACACCGTTCTACGTAATAACAAATATCCAAAATATCTGGAGGTTACTCTAAACCGCACACCCCCTAACCTAACCTAACCTAACCAAATGTCCATCATTAAATATCCTTGAATGAGGTACAGCGTAGGTGATGCTGTATCTACTTCAGGGCTATTCAGCACAGCTGGAAATCTGTCATACAATTGTTTTTGTCTCCAGCCTTCTTCCTACTCTCTGATGTAATTTTTGTCGAATGTTACAGGTGGAGTGGTCCCTGCCAAACTCAGAGGCGAGAGATTGTCGTCGAGGGAGGTGATGGTTTGGTGGAGTGGGTGCTCTACTGATTATAGCTAATTAAAAAGTTTTTCTACTACTTTTGCATGGGCTTGTTTTATGTTTCGCAAACCGCTGCCACCTTTTTTCCTTTGCAGGTACATTCTGCTGACCAATGAGTTGGGATGGTGCAGGCGGTGTCTTGAGAGGGTCGTTCTAATCAGTCTATCCAGTCCCTCTAGATCTGTAGGGCTCCATCGTACCACTCCAAAGCTATACGTCGCAACAGGTAAGACCCACGCATTACTATCTTTGACCCAGAATACAGCTCTGTGTTAAGGATTATCTTTAGCCGTTTTCTTAAAGCTTCTTCAATCTGCTTTTTAATGGATGAGTGTTCTAGGACCATAGCTTGATATTGTAGACCTAAGTATTTATACCTTTCATTTGGCGGGAGTGGAGAAAATACCGAGTAGTCCATTAGGTATTGGGCTTCCAAAATTTGTCCTGCTTTAATGTTGATAAATGAACACTTTCCTATTCCAAAATATATACGGATTGATCTTGTGAACGAGGATACCAGCATAATTTTTATATACCGGGTGCGTCTCAAAAGTTGCTCACCCCTATAATTTTTTTATTTTTTTTAGAAAAAAAAACGAGATTCGGTATATTAGATTCCCCAATAGGATTGATAGACGTATTAAATTGTTTTTGGTCACTTCCTGTTTCACCGAAAATGACTACACCTTTTGATTCTTAAACAACACCCTCGGTATATTTTTCTTTTATTCGATTTATAATGACAATGAATAGAATGACGTATCATATGTTAACTTTTGAAATTTTGGACAAAAACACTAATTTTTAATAAAGGAGCCTTGGAAAAATAAATTTGATCGATTAATGTTTTTCGTGTCTTGTCCTGGCCGAGTAACAGATGCCCAAATCGTATTTTTAATCATATCTCAATTTTTTCAAATGGAACAAGTGCGGATTTAGCATATTTGGAAAAAAACATATTTTTACGAATAATTTGGCATCACACACTTGGTATTTCGAGTCAAATTGTCGTTATGAACTGCATGTTACAATTTCAAATAAACCATATGCGAAAATGCCAAAAGTTGACATATGATATGTCATTCTACTCAGAGTGTCATTTTCTATCGAATAAAGTAAGAAAATCCCGAGGGGGTCATTTAGAAATCAAAAGTTGTAATCATTTCTGGTGAAACAGGAAGTGACCAAAAACAATTGAATACGTCTATCATTCCTAATTTAGGAACTAGCTTCCAACATTCTGCTTAGTGGGTTTATTGGCACACAGAACCATAGGGGGCTAAGGTTGTCACCATGGAATACGCCTCGCTGAACTTTCATGCCGGTCGTTGTGTTGGATTCTGCCAACATTTACACTCAGGTTGGTTGGTTTGGTTTGGTTTCCCACTATGAAATAATCCCAACTATGAATATCCAGCAGCCAAGAATGCGGGACCGAGTGAAAGGCCTTTCGATAGTCTATCCAAGCCATCGAGAGGCTTCTCCCCTTATCCTTAGCATGCTTCGATATTATGGAATCCAGAATCAGCTACTCCTTACTTCTCCGAGCGTTCGGCCTGCATCCATTTTGATGTCTAGCGATAATTTCATTATGGTCTAGATGTGTGTTTATCATTTGCTCAATAAGAGTTTGCAGGGCAGGCAGGCATGTTGAGTTGCTCAGGCAGGAGTTGCTCAGGCATGAGTTGCTCAGGCAGGCATGTTATGGGTCTATAGTTCTGACACCTGCCCATGTCGCTGTTCTTTGGCAACAGCTAAGTTTTGTCCTTGATGAAAAAATTTGGCAGCAAGTGTCTTATGTACTGCAGTAAGGTTTTTCCACCAATATCCATGCATTTCTGGATATCCCCTTCCGTGAAGGCAACTTCCGGCATTGGTACGATACGGGTCATATTTTGGTATTCTTCTTCGATCCAATAGGCAGAGTTGTCATGACGTTCTGGATTGCTCCATATGTCTGCCCAATATTTGTACATTTCGTCTTGATTTGCTGGTTTCCCTGTCAAAGTTTCATCTGTCTTATTCCCGAGCCTGCGGTAGAAAAATAATAATCCCTGGTTTTGCCGAAATTGTTTATTTTGTTGATATCTCTTAACCCTTTTATTATATCGCCCCAGCCTACGCCCTAACGCTGCTATTTTTTGTTTCAGGTCTTTATGGTATACCTTCAACTTTTGTAACATATCAGGTGAGTGGAATTTAATTTTTATTCTTTTGTAGACGTTCTTCACTTGCTTTCGGATCTTAGCTGTCAGCTCCTGAACGTTAATATCCTTTTAATAAATATACTTTTCTTATTATGTAGTTTTAATCTCAAAAAGCACCTAGAACCAATAGCGCCCCTAGCCAAAAAATCCCTAAAGAGAAAAAAGACTAAAGAAGGATAAATACGAATAGCAAAAAACAACAATTAAGAACTCATAAACTTTTTTGCGAGGCTCCCAAAGTCGGACGTATGGAAACCCTACATAGAGGCATGCAAGATATACAGGGTCCGGCAATAGTGCGTCGGGCATCTGTAGCTCCTAGAATAAAAAACTTGCGAATTTTGTTTACGTGCAAACCTAAAGTATGTACCAGGATGTATTTCAGGAAAATATTTTAACTTCTATAGGGTAGCTGAAGAAACTGAGTGGGTCGGGATTATTTCTTTTTAAATGGAACACCCTGTATATTGTTGGATTTTTGGCTTCTTTTCAGATCACTTTACATAATTCTAAGATAAGAGTAAATATATTTCGATAGTTTTAGAGATATTAATAAATAAATAAAAAATATATATTTCCAGGCTTTCTTAAACAAATATGTCCTGAAATCAAAACAACTATTATTAGTTTGGTAACTAGTATTTACTTTAGATGCTCTGCACTTAACTTTGTTATAAATATGGTAATCGAAAACCATACAGAATGTTCAAAATTCTATGCCAAACTTTCTAAAATATAAAATAATTTTTCTTCGTTTTTTTAAATACTAACCTAACTTAACACCCTGGGGTATTATTTTTTCAGTAGATGGAGAATTAAAAAATGAACAATTTTTGAATTTAGAATATTTCAAAATTTTTAACGGTTTCGTAAATATTCGCGGTTTTATATTTCAAATGGCATTTTCCACAGTAAATTTTTATCATAGCCATCCAATGATTTTTCTCTCGTATTTTACCGTTGAAAGAGCCATATGAAATAATACCGCGAGTATTTGTGAAACCGTTAAAAATTTTGAAAAACTGTAAATTCAAAAAATGTTCATTTTTTAACTCTCCACGAGATAAAAAATAATAAACAGGGTGTTCCATTTAAGAAAATAAAGAAAAATTATTTTATATTTTGAAAAGTTTGGCGTAGAATTTTGGGCATCCTGTATGGTTTTCGATTATTATATTTATAGCAAAGTTAAGTGCAGACCATTTAAACTAAATACCTAATATAGTTTTGATTTCAGGACAGTTCTTGTATTTTAAATAATTTTTTTAAGAATGGCTAAAAAATATATATCTTTTTTTCTTGTTTATTAATATCTTTGAAATTATCGAAATATATTTACTGATATCTTAGGATTATGTAAAGTAATCTGAAACGAAGCCAAAAATGCAATAATATACAGGGTGTTCCATTTCAAAAAATCATCCCGATCCACTCATAGTTTTTTGAGTCACCCTGTAGAAGTTAAAATATTGTTCTGAGATACATCCTAGTACATACTTTTGTTACATACGGTTTGTACTTAAACAAAATTCCCAAGTTTTTTATTCTAGGATGCCCGACGCACTATTGCCGGCCCTGCATTAGAAACCACCAATACATAATATATATAATGGATGCACTTGTTGTCTGTGGGATAATGACTAATAAAAAACCGCTAATTTATTTATATTATGTACCTTTCGTATTGACCTGTCGACTCATATTGAGGTCTGGTCTGATGAAGGTCTCTTTGTAGTCTTTCTTTCCTATCCGAGCTAGACGATCTCTCTCTAATCTTGTAAATGTCGGATTTGGAGTTCCGTCTGTGTCGCTCAGTCGGAGTGTATCTGTAAGTATTATAATGCATATATTTCATATACATTCCTGTAAGTCGGTCATGCCAACGTCCCCTATCATTCCCAGAATGAAATATTAATTTTGATACAGCACACTATGGATCCGAAATGCCTCTTACGCAAGATACAGGGTGTTAAAGTTTTAGAAAAATTAAAGATATTCTTTAATAATTTTTTAACAGCTGAACGTATCGTTATAAAATTTCATTATAGGAGTCTACCTAACAGAGACACTTTAAATGTAAAAAGAAGAGGTTTTAGTTTCAACCAGTGGCGTAGATGTGATACGCATCAGGTAATTTAGTCAAAAAAAAATAGTACGCCACTGATGAAAATAAAAATTTCGGAGTTTTTTTATTTACTCGGTTTATTTCCAAGAAAAAATGTCTCTTGCAACTTTCTCCTAACACCATTTTGTCACAATTTAAAAATAAATAATTTTTTTAATGAGAATCTTAAATACAGCGAATTATTATAACTAGAGGGCAGAAACACATGTGCATCGTTAGCTCCCTTCATCTTGGGTAACTTTTTACTATTAGCTCTAAATAAATTTTTAAAAAAGTATAAATTTAAACTAGATTTTTTTTATTGTTAGTAATAAAATTCTCAGTTTTAAGGTAGTTATAATAATTCGCATATTTAAGGTTCTCTTTAAAAAAAATATTTATTTTTAAATTGTGACAAAATGGTGTTAGATAGAAAAAAGTTACAAGAGACATTTTTTCTTGGAAATAAACCGAGTAAATAAAAAAACTCTGAAATATTTATTTTTATCAGTGGCGTACTACTTTTTTTGAAAATATTAGCCGATCCCTATCCCTATCATTCCTCGAAAGCATGACCGACTTACAGGAATCACCCTGTATATGTTTTAGGTAAAAATGTATTAGAAATTATAAATATTTGAATTTTACCCGACACGTGAAAGGACTCCATTGTGGACTATTTGGCGAAGGTTCTTTAAAAAGTTTTATTAGTGTGTTGTATTTATTTTTTATTGTGTTTATACTTGTAAAATAAATTAGTTAAGTGGTTTATCGTGTGTTTTGAATTAACACCCACGGAATCCGTAACAATATTTTCAACTTAAGTTACGTTTATTTCCATGAAATCCAATTCCATATTCCGGTATATCTAAATCACTTAGAACTTATGCTGGATTCAGAGTTCCGTAGCCGTAAGACGTAAGCCGTATCGTTAGCCGTAAGACTTAAGACGCAAGGAAAGCCATTCATAGTTGCCGTAAGACGTAACGATAACTTCATCGTAAGCGTGCGCATTACCGTTTTTAATAGGTTATGTTGTTGTTTGGGTTGTGAATGTTGTGAATAAAACTATAATACTCCTTATTTATTTTGTTATTATTAATTTAATTGAACTAAAATGGACACGGACAATTATATTTTCGTTGCCGAAGTGAAATATCTGTGAAATATATTATAAAAGTTGTAGAAATGGCTACCGAGTACCACCGAACCTAGCCGACAACACCCGATTCGATAAGACGTAACGTAAGAATTAAAATTGGTTCATTTCTTACGTCTTACGGCATACGGCTTACGGCATACGGAGATCTATGAACGCAATCATATGATTGTGAAGGTCGATATCCCTTACGTCTTAACGATACGGCTTACGTCTTACGGCTACGGAACTCTGAATCCAGCATTAGAATCACTGTATTTTCAGTACCTTTCAATCGCACAAGTCTCTTGCGCCGTCGCCTCCATTGCTTCATTTTGCTGCAAATGGTACTTCTTGTCAAAAGTGTGGTACCTCTCCGAAGACGGAGTAGGAGTACGTGAGTAAACAGCGGCAACATGGTATCTAGAAACAAAACTTTAAATTAAATGTCAAGGTTGTTTTTATTTGTGGGATCTTGGTAAAAAGAGTCAAGTTTATTATTTAGTGACTGGTCGACGTGTCGACAAATATACCGGGTGCGTCTTAAAAGTGGCTCACCCCTATAACTTTTTTATTTTTTCAGATAAAAAACTGAGATTTGGTATATTAATATGGCATAAATTAGGATTGATTGACGTATTCAATTGTTTTTGGTCACTTCCTGTTTCACCGGAAATGACTGCAACTTTTGATTTTTAAATGGCACCCTCGGTATTTTTACTTTATTCGATAGAAAATGACATTTTAAATAGAATGACATAGCATATGTCAACCTTTGACATTTTAGAATATGGTTTATTTGAAATTGCAACATGCGACTCATAGCGACAATTTGAATCGAAATACCAAGTGTGTGGTACCAAATTATTCGTAAAAAAATGCTTTTTCCAAATATGCTAATGAGCCACCCTCGTTCCATTTAAAAAAAATTGAGTTATGATTAAAAATACGATTTGGGCATCTTTTAACCGGACAGGACAAGACACGAAAAACATTAAACGATCAAATCTATTTTTCCAAGGCTCTTGATTAAAAATTAGTGTTTTTGACAGAGTTTTTAACATGGCACTCTAGATTGAAATTTAAAATTCAATTTTGTTTTAAGCAAAAATGTCAAAAGTTGACATATGATATATCATTCTTTTCAGAATGTCATTTTGTATCGAATAAAGTAAAAAAATATCGAGGGTGCCATTTAAAAATCAAAAGTTGTAGTCATTTCCGGTGAAACAGGAAGTGACCGAAAACAATTGAATACGTCAATCAATCCTAATTTATGTCATATACTAACATGCCAAATCTCGTTTTTTATCTGAAAAAAATAAAAAAGTTATAGGGGTGAGCCACTTTTGAGACGCACCCGGTATTGTCTTCCTAAATTCTCCTTTATTTGTGACGGTAAATATTATTAAAACTTGTAGGATTATTATTAGATGTATTATTTGTTATTTAAGTAAAAAAGTTTTATTTAGCTAAAAAGAAGAAGAATGAGTATGTATATTTCATATCAATTAAACTTTTAGTTAAGTAATCGAGGGCGCGATTTTTAAATTCATTGTTGCCAACCATGGACATATTCGGCGCCGTGCTGAATAACTGGAATTTAAATTTCGCGCTGCGGATTCAGGTGGTAGCTCTGCTGTAAAAAATATCAAGTTGCCGCATTTAATCACAAAACTTATCTATTATTACTATAAATCTATTTCCGTATTGTAAGGGAATTTTAAATTGTGTCTTTATTTTCGAGAAAATTTAGTCCAAACATAAGGAATATTTTGTTGATGTTTGACCTTTAAAATCTTAAAAATAAAGAAGTTATTAAAAAATGTGCTACAATACGGATATAGTATAATCCTTTATCTTTAATTTCCTTCTTCATTTCTGTAAAAATACCTAGCCAGTTTTACATAAAACGATAAATGCCGAATGCTTATTTTGTTACTTTTTCTGACTAGTAAAATGGACTAGTAAAAAGTCCATTTAGAACAATTATTCACTTGTATCCCTTTTATTCTAAGCCCCTAAGTTATCGTCTACTTTCTGTTTAAGCGAAAGTACCAGAAAGTGAAAAACTTAGGATGGCTAAATCTCTATAGGTAATTATTGTGTTTAATTAGGAAGTGTTGAAAATTGACTGAAATTAAACTTATGTAAAAATAACTGAACTTTAGAATATACGAATAATGTTTACCTTTCCAGACTACCATGTGAGTACCTATCGTTATTGCCGGATCTAGAGTACCGGCTAGCATTTGTAGAAGATGCTGATAGGCACGGAGAGCGTTCATTATATTGGTACCTGAAATGTAATAAATAAATTAATTAATAATATCAAAAATTAAAAAAATATTATTATTATAAATTCATTATCAAATATAAATTAATTAATTTAGTCGTTTTTACCTCGTTTTCGAATATGAGAGAGAATTTAGGTTTGTTCCAACCCGCCATAGAACCGTCACCGAACGATCACGCTCGTGCGCAGTAATTCAATTGTGTTCCAACCGAGATTTGACGGTTATCGGACGATCCTATTTGCGTACCAACCTACTTTGGGATCGTTTAGTTACGATTTCAGAACGGTCATTTCGGTACATGGTCCAAATTGAGAACTGTTTGGGTTGACTTGCGCATTAAAGCATATTGGCAGGGATTATCGATGTTTAACAGCTGATTCTGGTCCGGCGTCCGGCTGATACTTCTGTCTTGGTTATTTTTTACAAATTCCAATACGTGCGCGTTATACTTTTCACTTGTGTGGAGTAAATCGGAAATTTTAGTTAATTTTTTATTTATAAAATAATGTTCGAAGATTTTACCACTGCAATGAAATAACAGGAAACTACGCATAACAGGATCATAAAAGAGGGGATAGGTAAGTGAGTTAGTGACTATACAGTTGAAACAACACTTACCAACAATTACTGAATTCTGATTCTCCATTTCAAGAATAATAATTATTATTATTGCAAATTGCAAACAAAAATAATAGGGTTATGTTATGAAATTCTAAACAAAAACAAAAAACCGATTGATACACTTTTGACAGTCCCGAAAACAATCCACAAAGCGTTCCAACGTTGATACTTTTTGCACCGTCACGAAACTATTCGAAGTCCGCGCATGCTAACAAAGTGCATGAAAACTGATTCGAGTACGATTTCGAAACGATCCCGAAATGCTGGTTGGAACAAACCTTTTAAAATGTAGTTGTGATCAGAAAGTCTGTAAATTTATGTGAAATAAAATATAAGAATAAAATAATAAAAAAATGTAACATAATCTACAGTATGTCCCCGGATTGTCTTTACAAGAGGAAAAACTTCATTATAGAACATTTTGAGAAAAATGCATTCTTCATAAAAATTTTTGCTTATCCTAAAATAAATCATAAAGCATGAAATATAACACCTGTTTATACTTCTCCAAATTTCCATACCGTTTAAGAGAAAATTATAGAAAACATGAAAAAATATGGTTGTTCTCTTTGAATAAGAAGACATAGGAAGGAGCATAATGCTATCCATGTATTCATGCATGGTGGGCGGAAAAAGCTCTCTAGGGTGGGGATCCTTGACAGTTCTGTTTGACGATTCATTTGACACATTTGAATTTGATTTGGAATTTTGTGGATTTGTCAGTCTTTACGGAGCTTATTTTATGTTATTTATTATTTATTCTACTAGGTACTGATAGTTGTATAAAGGTAGTAAATCTAGATGGAAATTGTGGCAGAACTTAAATTAACAGTGACATTATCGCGATTTATCGAAAAAGACTCTAAAATAGTTGGTTGTGTAGCGTGCGGTAGATCTCGACAAAAATTGAGTGAAATAATGGAACAACTTTTCGCTAGTAAGTGACTATATAATATACCGTATGATCGAAAAAAAACGGCGTCCAGTTGGCTGGGAAATGAACATCAATGACATTTCCCATATAAATTTACATTTAAAATGACAGCGATCTTCATTCCATAGCCATCGCTGACGCCGTTTTTTCTCGATCATACGGTACATACGTGTAGTAAACCGATCATTTATGAAAAATTCACTTAAATTAACTAAATTATATATTTTCTTGCATTTTAGCTTTTATTTATTACTTGTCAAAGATCAGATGTCAAAGAATTTTGATACGTTAATTTGACTGACCTGCTTCAGTAGCGTATCGGATGTTTGTGTTAATAAATACTTATTATAACTTATCTATTTTTATTAGAATTATATATTTTAATATTTTTTATATAACATTTATTCACAACGTAAAATAAAATAACAAATTATTGAGTCTAGCCCACGTCTACCCTACATCATAGTTTTACATTTTTTAAATAAAATTAGAACGGCACTGATAAACCGGAATTTAAGTCGGCCATATTTGAGGCCCATCCAACCTAAGATTTTTGATATGCTCCTTCCTTAGTCTTCTTATTCAAAGGTTGTTCTGAATCAAAACGCGTTTCTATGGTAATATAATTTGCATTTCATTCTTTGATAGATTGTTATTGAGAAAATTTTAATTAACGTCATCTTTTCTGCTGTTCTAAAATGTTAAAGAAGCACAAAATTTATTTTGTTTAATGTTACAAAATAAATGATTTTTAGAACTGAGTTACAGAAAATTGAGCTACATTTTTATGTTTTTTTTTATTTTCTCTAAAACGGTAATATTAAATATTCTCTAATATATCTACTGTGTGGTGCATCGAAACACGGGATATAGGAAATCCCAGGTAAATTTAAAATGATAAAATATTATCTTCTTAGATGATTTTATGTAAAAATTGTAGATATTAGACTTTTTTGAAGAGGCGTTAAAGTTGTACTTTCATATAGAATTTTGTTTTATTTGGAATATGCATCTAAAAGTTATTTGCAAAAATCTACCTTCAAATTATAGTACGAGAGCTAGCAACGTCAGAAAAACAAGTATTTTAAGGCGTCTGGCTCTTTGATATAGATAATCTTTTACTATGCTCTCTAGAACACCATGCGGCCCGTCTGGCTGCCGGTAAACGTTCCGTTCCCTACTGCGCATTGAAAGAAGATCCTATATTTTTATTAGTCCTTTAAATTCTAGTATTGAATATAATCCGACCGAGTACCGAGTCTCCATAGCTCAGCGCGTAGAGGTTCCGCCTATTAAGCAAGGAGTCAGAGTTCGAATCCGGGTCAGAACAAAAACTATTTTAGAGTCTCTTTCGATAAATCGCGATAGTGTCACTGTTAATTTAAGTGCTGCCACAATTTCCATCTAGATTTACTACCTTTATACAACTATCAGTAGTAGAATAAATAACATAAAATAACCTCCGTAAAGACTGACAAATCCACAAAATTTCAAATCAAATTCAAATGTGTCAAGTTTAGATTGGAAAGTGCCCATAAGGACAATGTAAACACTATTTGGCGCTATTCTTGCAACGGTCGCGACCCAAAACTTTTGAAAATTTCGGAGCGGTTCGGCTTTTTCCGGAATTATATCGCCAAATATTGTTTATTCAAATTTATTATTATTTTCGTTTAATTTTATAAATAAAATACAGTGTGTTGCATACAAGAAACTTTATTTTATATAAGGACTTTGACATTTGATTCTGACTTTGACAAGAGAAAATTATTTCTGTTTTTGTTTGCCGTTGTTCTTAGCGACCGCTATAGCAGCGCCAGATCGCGTATAACGGTCGCGACCCAACATAATTTCGCGATTTAAAATTTATACGGGCTTTCCAATCTAAACTTGTTGCATTTATCTATGAATGTGTCAAATGAATCGTCAAACAGAACTGTCAAGGATCCCCACCCTAGAGTGCTTTTATGGCGCCGAGGATTCAGAGTTCGAATCCGGGTCAGAGCAAAGACTTTTTTATTTTATTTTCGTTTATATTCTGATAGTAAGTATTAAATATTTGTTTTTTTTTAAATCACCAGAATAAGTATTTAATACTTTACTATCAGAATATAAACGAAAATAAAATAAAAAAGTCTTTGCTCTGACCCGGATTCGAACTCTGAATCCTCGGTTCGTAGTCTGATACTCTACGCACTGCGCTATGGAGACATGTTCGATTTATATTCAATACTAGAATTTATAGGTCTAAAGTAAAAAAAAATATATATAGGACCTCCTTCTGATGCGCAGTAGTGACCGCAACGGGTATCAATAGCACAGTAAACGATATAGCAAAGAGCCAGCTTTCTTAAAATACTTTCTCGAAAACATTGCTAGGCTCTTAGACTATTACTAAAAATTTATAATACGGCCCAGAGAAAGCTACAATTAAAATACCAACAAAAATATGACTTTGTCATTGTCAAATTCGATGTCACATTTTTAGGATATTTTTTTATTTTGTCACATTACAAGGATATATGAGGTTTGGAAAGAATGGTTATTTTTTTCTGAATTGGAATGATCATTTATAAAAGAATTAGTTGAATTGAGAATTAGTTGAACTGTATTCGCGGAGTATGACTTAATTGCTGTTCATTACCAGATCACTCGCAGCCCTCGCTCCTACCACATACCATCCACAATAAATTAACAAATAAAAGAAATATTTGTAACTAAGAGAACCAGGGGCGGCTCGTAGCACTGGAAGATGGTGAGGCACATTAGAAGAGAATTTTTATTAGTATGTATATAGGGTGACCATTTGTACGAGGAAGTCCAATATCTTCGTAGTTGACAAATATATGAAAAAAAAGTTCTATTTAAAAAAGTGCATATCCTAAAAAAAATTTTCTTTAAAATTGCAATCGCATTACCATTTTTCTGTACAGAATTGGGTTCAACATAAAATTCAGCATACATCACACTATTGATTTATTTGAAGCACTATATATGCGGGATTTCCATGATAATTCATATTTGAAAAATTTCATTTTTTAAAAAGTGGTAAAAACCTGGAGTGAATTTAACTTATTGATATATTATTGCTTAAGTATGTATATAGCGAGGTATGTAGGAGAAAAGAAGAAATCCGAGAAAAATTTACATTATTATATACAGGGATTTTTTTATGGCAGGGCCAACATTGCAATATTATAATGCTATATCTCAAATTTTTTTTTAAATGCATTACACACTGTATATTATTTTTAGTATTTTAGATACCTACAGACTTAAAAATCGCACATTTTTGTATTTAAAATATTTCTAAATTTTTAGCAGTTGCCTTAAGCCTTATGTAATATAATTCGCAGTATTATACCGTATGATCGAATAAAAACGGCGTCAGCGATGGCTATGAAATGAAGATCGCTGTCATTGTATATGTAAAATTATATGGGAAAT